TGACCACAAGTAAAAGTTTTTGCTGCACCTGACTTGGATCAGCTTTCGATCAAATTCGTCTCAAGAGCAGCTTCCTGGGAGACCGTCCTGGGTATGACAATAAACTACATCCGCGTTTTGGGCAAGACGATAAACTACATCCGACAGTAAGGCCTCTGATCAAGAGGTTTTGAGGAGCGTGGGGCCACTTCTTAATTGTTGGTATTCCCAGATCCACCCTGACCCGGGGTGGTAGCGCCTGTTAGGGTCCCAGCTATGGGCAAATAGTTAACCCCCAAAGTGGCGTCAAATTATATGAAAGTTTAAAAATAAATTTTAATACCAGAAATATTTTGTAAAAAATTATTACAAGCAATATATTTTTGAAAAAAAAAAGATATTACCAGTTATACATTTTTGAAGGAATAATATTACCAGAAATAGAAATTTTGTGGGCATTAAATAACTAATTGAGGTTGATATGCCGTAAAACAAAATAAACCAAACCTTCCCGGGTGATCGCCGTTTCCCGATAAGGAAAATGAAGAATGATCAAAAAGTGTCCACGTTGAGAAAAAAAAATACTGACGAGGAAGAAAGCAGGAGAAATGATCCGTTTACTCATGCACTGAGTTCAACAGTGGGGCGAGGCATCTGACACGAAATATTCATAATGCGATAAGCGAATTGCCCCACTTAGAGTTCTTCCCTGCAGCATTCACCCACGTTGACTGGCCAGCGCGTAAAACAGTTCTACTTTTATGAATTCGTTTTTTTTTATTGTCGCCTATGAGGAGAAGATTACTGAGCTGTTACGTAATATCATTTCTCGGATATGGCAGTGAATGCTGGACAATAATCTCTTTACAGATGAAAAAAAAACACTTAAGGCAACTGAAAAAGAAATGTGGCTCTGCGGAAGGATGCTGAGAATACCATGGACTGAACATGTGAACAATGACGAAGTTTTAGAGAAAATGGGAACAAAAAGGACACTTATGCTTAACACCAGAAAGAAACAATTGAAATTTACAGGGAACGTAATTAGAAAGGCGGGCTTGGAGAATTTGACACTCATAGGGCATACTGATGGCAAGAACGACAGAAGAAATCAGAAAAAAAACATACCCTGCACGTAAATAGTTTGTAGAAGAGGGTTTAGGTAACAAAGAGGACACTTATACCTAACATCAGGAAAAAACAGTTGAAATTTATGGGGCATATAGGGGGCGGGGAAAGAGGACTTGGAAAATTTGATATTCACAGAACAGATTGAATACAAGAGGGACAGAGGGAAAAAATCCATAATCTGCCTAACGTGCTCGAGTAAGCAATTGGCAAAACTGGATTTAGGAGAGATAACAAAAAGGATCAGTTTATTAAGAGCTAGAAAGTGGTGGAAATTGTGGAGAACCATGATCTCAAACGTCCGGAAGGGACACAGGATATAGAAGAAGAATTAGGAGAAGTTATTATTCCGAGCATTTAGGCTAAACTCGATTTAGGCGAAGATATTTTTCTCAAGAATCATCAAAGATATTGATAAGAATGTCACCGTCTCTAATTGATTCGAACTGATGTACCCATTTAAAGGATCATTCTTCTTTAATGAGCATCGCACATCACTATGTTTTCACACTATCGTGATCCCCGCTTATTACATACTCGTTGTTCCGGAAATGATCCATCTAGCTAAAAAAAAAAGGTACCTACCTTTCGACCTCAGCCATTTATTCCAACAACACATTCACTTTTTAAAACAAGGTGTAATGTGCTTTATTCGGAATCCGCTGCCTTGTCGTATTCTTAACTTCGCACATCTTCTATTGAACCGCGATTTTTCTCGTGAGAAAATTTAGATGCCGATAGGAACTAAATTTTGGTCGTAGCTGGACTGACAGACCAGCGTGATGTGGGCGTTTAGCAACAAAGTAAATAAATGATATAAAACATCACATGAAAATTAAATTTATTCATATAAGGCAAGGGTGGCCAACATGTGGCGCATGCGCCATAAGTGACGCATTGGATGCTTACAAGTGGCGCATTGCATCCGTTTGATGACAAGGTCGCGACTGTTCGATTCCAACTTGAAGAATTGTTTATTGCTTTCATTTACGAATTTAACTCCTAATATTGCTGGTTTGGCGAAAACAAAGCAGAATCAAAAGGCACATTAAAGTTATTTATGTTTATTTTGCCTATGTAAACATTAGAAACTCTGCCATGCCCCCCTCTGCAAAATCTGAAGAGAAAAAAAAGTCAAAACATTGATTGATGCCCCCCCCCTTCAAAACTCCTGGATATACCGCTGGTCATAAGCATATATATTTTCAAAGAAATAGATTTTATTATACCTTTAAAATATGTCCATATTACAACACGTACTGAAAGGAAGTGAATAATCGTACAAAATATTGGCGCATGGAATCAAAGGGTTGGCCACCCTTGGATCAAGGATTAACTGTTTTCTGCAAAGACCATAGAATCCTCAGATCTCTTTCTAACTCATATGCATTCCACTAAGTTTCACTAAGTGACAAGTTAACCTACTATATAGATTATGGTCCTTGTATAACTAATGTCAAAATGTAATATTTTGCTTATTGTTGTTGGAGATGCAATCTATCAAAGAACTATAATTTATCGACATTTTCTTATATAAATTGGATTTTGAGGTACCTAGTTGGTGGTAATAACTAAGACAGATATTTTAAACTTTTCATAGTAAATTAAATATACTTATTATTGTAAAAAATACAATAAGTGCGGCACAAGGACAGAGGGGAAAAAGGAAAGGCTGGTCTTGGCTATCTACCTTGTCCTAGATAATCACAAGCAAGACCCATTCATTCAATACATTTTATCCAGTTACAACAAAAATTCACCCATCACTTCTCAATCCTGCATATGCTACAAACCACATATTCACTGGGGACCTATAAAACACCCCATAATATAAAAATCTCTTAAAAATGTTTTTATTATCAGAAATATATAAAAATTTCATGAATTATGCAATGAGAGGGAGGGGATCTTTTCATAGTAAAATAAAAATGTAGGTGTTTTCTTCAGTCATTATTTAATATTTAATGACGAAATGGGTTTTGCCTTCCCAACTTTGATTAGATATAGCCTCGTCAATTAAAGCGTTGTTTCGTGAATTTGGCGATATAGTAAATGTAAGTTCAATCCCTCGTCCGGCTGGTGTATATCTTCTTTAATATTCCAATAAGGAGATGGTGATTAGCTTGAAATGCAATTTTATAAATATTTTATCAGGGCTTAACATGAAATTGAAGGCCGTAGAGAAATTTACAATTTAAATAGCGTCCGCCACAAACTATTAAAAACTTTCATAAATTTAAAAGGTTTCGCTTTAGCAAATTTATAAACATTTTTTCAATTTGTTTCTTATTTAATCATTCAGTAAGATTCAAGCAATACTTTTTCAAATCGTCCCCCCCACGAATATACGCCAAAAATGCTTATTTACTTCTGAAATAAAAATGAATCTCAGTTAGGGGAATTGTACGTGTCTATCTACATAGGGAGTAAGGGTAGAGTCGAGAGGAGTCTTTCACGTGTCTACAAACTGTTTGAGGGTCTCCTGTACTAAAGGTGAGCATCTTACATCCTAACCTCCACCCCCCCGCACCACCGCTACGTCTACTTGGACATCGGCTACATGTGTTGAAGGAAATCCACAAGGCAGGCTCACTTTAAATCACTGTCATCATTTTCCGAACCTTATCTATTAACATGAAGTTCAGCAGCATTCTCATTCCTTCTCAATCCGCAGAGCGAACCCCCCGCAAAAAAAAAAAAAAAAAAAAAACGTCCAGGTCGATACGTATCTAATGTTTAGACTTAGGGGGAATTTGGTCGAGCATTCTGGCAATTAATTGTACAAACTAACACCCGTGGTTATATTAAGTTTCTTTTAAGTTGTAACATTTTCTTTAATGCTTAGCGTTCTATAACATATATATATATATATATATATATATATATATATATATATATATATATATATGTGTGTGTGTGTGCCGTCTCCTTAATTCTTGTCTGATTTTGGTATTGTTTAGCCATTATTATTTTTTTTTAATTTATACTAAAAGTTCATTCTTTACCGACCGTTGGAAAGTTTGTTTTTTTTTCATTTGATTTTTTCTATAGTCGCTTCGTTGTAACTTTTGGCAAGAATCTACGTCATTTTTTTTTCTTTCCAGAGAAAATCGACTTTTACTATATAAAATAAAAAAGAAAAAGAAAAAAAAGAGCTCCAACTCGTAACGCAACTAACAAGCCTCTAGACCATCTCTGAGAAATTATTGATTGTAGATCGATCTCGTATAGCAACGATAATTAGCAGTAGCGCGAGAGCTGGTTTAACCTAGTCATTTGCTTGTCAAATTTAACGGTTGACTGCCTGACGCAAACGGCGCCGAATATGTCTATTGGTGTCAGAAAAATGTTGAGACGAATTTGCTAAAAAGCAGTAATTAGAATATTGATCTTTAGTCGTGAAACCGATTTCTAAGACGAACGAGGCTTTTAAACAAATTTGTTGTTCATCTTCATTTTTTCGACTTCTTCAAAAAATTAGATTATAATTTCTGTCGTCATTCTTCTTGTACCTTTCTCATAGATACACAGACAGATATACAATTTCTTCGATTCTGGTTCGAAGAGCGAACGTGAAAGGAAATGCCTGCCAATAGCCATAACAGGGGCTGCGAGTGGGTATAGTGAATATGTCCTCTCGCTATAGAAAGGACGATGGATCAATACCTAACTCAGCTCTGATCACTTGTCGGCAGTATATTTATCCAGGCGAGATTTTGTTTCCGAGACAATACGTTTATTCCAGTAGAAGAAGAATTTTTCAGGAACGAACGAATTTAACTCTTTCTCTGTATCTCTCAAAGAAGAAGAAAGAGGAAATACATTAGTCTACGAACGAATACTGCTAATTCCTTAGAATATTTTTTTCACGAATCAACACTTTTAACTGTCTCTCACTCTAAAAGAGAAGAAAAACGAACGAACAAAGGTTTATTCCTTTCTATTTCTTTAAGAAGGGAATTTTGTTTAATTAACCCACGCTTTAAATTCTTCCTCTCCGTATATCTCTTCAAGAAGAAAAGGAGGAGGAGGATGGGGGAGAGAAGAAGAGGAAAAAGAAGGAGGATGAGAGAAGAAGAAGAAGAAGAAGAAGAAGAAGGGGGAGATGAAAAAGAAGAAGAAGAAGGGGGGAGATGAAAAAGAAGAAGAAGGGGGGAGATGAAAAAGAAGAAGAAGGGGAGGAGGAGGAGAAGGAGGAGGAGGAGGGAAGAAGAACAAAAAGGAGGAGGAGGGAAGGAGGAGGAGGAGGGAATGAGGAGGAGGAGGAGGAGGGAAGGAGGAGAAGGAGGGACGGAGGAGTAGGAGGGAAGAAGAAGAAGAATTTCAAGACAGACGTCTATATTCATAACTCGCTTCAACAGTAAATCACTGATAACATTAAACTACATATGTATTTAAATGCAAAACAAACGATCGTAAATTTCAGTATTATTCATTAGTCCCTATAAAGCATACATATGAGTTGTCAATATCCTTTCAAAAGAATACTTAATTCAAAAAGAAAAAAAAATAGTACTTTGAAGGCTTCTTTAATATGATATTTATTGGCGAAATTCTTCCTGATATGAAAACCATGTGTAAACAGTAAATTTCGTAATATTAGGCGAGCAAGTTAATCGAGACTGTATAGGTTCACTCTAACCAAAGCATTTTTGATAATATAAGGGCAGTAATTATGGCATCTTTTCTATTCTTCAAACAAGTTTCAATTTTCTCATTTCTTTTTAAACTACCCTTTCCAGCAGGTTTACCCATTTGTGCGTATTTATTACTTATCCATTGCAAAAGAAGTGCCTATATATTCCGGTTTTAAAAACATCCCTCTTCGATAATTCGTATTCGGTAAGATTCTTAGAATTTGGAACAGAACCGTATATTCACTCCCCATTTTGCATCCTGTTTTTGGTAGATTTTGTCACATTTCTCTGGACGGGGTTTTGTTATAATTATACACTAAGCTTGCGTAGTCGTCTCGCTAGAAATAGGGAGACAAAGGTCAAATCTTGGTGATTGAAACTCCTAAAGATAGGGATGAGGAATAACTGATTGAAAGGTACGATTCGAAATTTCTAAAACATTACAGCGGACAACAAACACCAGTCAAAAATTAGAGGGTGGTCGGAAAGTCTTACATTACCTAACTATCCGTATAATAATTTTATGATGCATTTTTGGATAATTAATTTTTTCTTCTATTAGTTTGTTACATAAATTCGATATTTTTTTTATAATTTATTTTAATAATAATTATTTATTAATAGTTCTGACGCATTATTCAACAATGCATTCCCCTTCACCGTTTATTACATCCTGCTAAAGTTCCACTAACTATTCAATGCCTCGACGATAGAAATCACTAGGTTTTGATCAAGCCACGTTTTAAGCTCTACCTCGTTGTTGAATGAAACACCCCTCAAATTGTTACAAAGTCCGGGGAATATGGTGAATGTGGCAAAACTTCCCAACCAGGCTCTTTCTTTGTATCCACGAGTAGCCTGGTATCGAGCGAGTAAACCTGTGGCAATAGAGGAGCGCTGGGATTAGTTTCTTTCGGTTAATGCGTGTGTTTTCCATGCGCCGTGTTTCGGAATCTTAGCAATTCAGTGAAGATATAGAGACGAACGACAGTTGCCATTTTCTAGGCCAATTTCCAAGAGGATCTAGCGCGGTCCGTCTTTAATCAGCGAGTGCAATTCGTTCTCATCAAACTGAGCGAGTCGATCAGAACCGGAAGAGTCTGTAATAATTCCCCTTCCCTGAAACAGGAAAACCATTTCTGTGCCATTCTGCCGGTAATGAATCATCTCCGTAGACAGCACAAATGTCTCGAGTAGCTATGGCAGCCTTGATTAAAAGCAAAGAGAGGATGTTGAATATGCCTATTCTTGTCTTTTTTCTTTTTTTTTAAGCGTTTCACCCCAAGCAAGGCGGGAAGCCACTTGGACGCAAGGGGTTACAGAAAATTTAGAGCAAGATCAGATAGGAGTGATAGAAGAAAGCATGAGGAGAGGGATAGTGGATAGATCAAGGCAACTGGAGATGTCGATTGACATTACATTTGAATAGCTGGAGATTATAGCTCTCAGGGAAACTGGAATAGAGAAGGGAGTTCCACAGGCGAGAGGTGCGAGACATGAAGCTATTAGAGTAGAAGAGACGGCTACATTTAGGAGTTTCTACAGTGAAGGGGTGAGAGCGGGATACCAGCCTCGTAGGGCGCTTGAACTCATGAAGTCTGGGAACCAGCGAATGCAGCCCCTCGGAGCAATTGCCATGAAAGTATTTGTAGAACAGACAGTGAGAGGCGACGGCGCGTCTGTGAGAAAGTGACTGTAGACGAGATGCCAGAGCAGGGCCAATTATATTGGATATCCGCCTCTGGAGCCTATCAAGAACCCCGAGGCAAACTGAAGGGGCACCAGACCATATATGGCAGCGATACTCCATGCAAGAGCGAATTGTTGATTTGTAAATCTGGACATCGATTCCGGGGAAAAAATTTCCTGGCGCGGCACAGGGAGCCAACTTTCCTTGCGGTGGACGAAGCAGTTGACTCAATGGATACTACTTGGCATCCCATCACAAAGGGGTGTGTAAACAGAAACCAAATTTCAATAACTTGGACAGCATTTCCACAGTATGGCAAGAAAATAAGAGAAACAAATAATTCTACGGAAGATTATTTTTCGAGATCATTTGCAGAACATCAGAAAAAATAATTCTAACGATTATATGTACAAACCTAATTTTAATATACAACGCTCAAAAGCCTTTCAAATTTTTTCTGATGTAAGTTGGCTGTTAATGATAATTCAAGATTTCAATGTTACGATAAAAAAGTATTTAATTACAACTAAATAACTAAATAAATACTTAACAAGAACAAAGAAGTAAAAGTCAATCAAAGATAACCATTTCAGTGAATACCTTGTTCTAAACCCACACAGATTGTAACCAACCATTCTCATTCTCTTCATATTCCCCCTGGTGAGATGTAAGTTCTACTCAGGCAGTTTCTTCCCACGAACTTTGTGGGACCGACTCCCAAGAGACTGCTTCCCCGATCACGACAATCTTAATCTGTTCAAGTCGGGGATTAACAGTTAACTTCCACTTATATCCGTATAAGTTGAACCTATCAATCTTTAACTCTCTACTTCGCTTGCCCCTCCCCCGGAGCCCTGTACCAAGTGAACCCAGCTGTAAAAAACTGTTCTGCCCAGTTCAGTTACTAAACACAAATTCACGAATCAGCGCTTTAACACCTCTAAGCTTTTGTTCCATCTGTCGGATATGACCGCACTGCAATTTAAACCGTAGCTGGTGAGAGGAGAAATAGATTCATGCCTTTGCTAAGGCTAATAGTACGAAAGGGTCTAGACTGAATTTTGAACTCGATTCTAATTTGCACACCGTTAAATTATTTGGTACCTCCAAAGATGAGGTAATTAGATTTTCCATAATAAGATAGAAATCGTAAATCGTGTTTGTGTTCTATGTAGATATCTGTATTTCTCTGAATCTATACCGTATAATTACCCTATTGTATTTTCATACGTAACAATCGTGCATCGTACTTGGACGCCAGTATAAACCAAACAACTGAAGCCTAATTATTTCTTTGGATTAATGTAATCGATGAATGAACTCAATGATTCTTTATCCAATTCGATTCTTCCTTGTTGTTCTGTGGTAATCAATCAACAGCGACATCCTTTTGCTTGTCTTACAATATCGCAGCTGGAATACTGGGTTTCTACGCAGGAGATCGATGAAAATATATCAAATTCCAATGCGAATGTTTCTTCAGATATCGTTCTACAGCCGGCCTGGTGTGCAAGTATTTTGACCAGATGGCGCCAAATCCGTTCAGAAATATCTAACCTGTCAGCTGTATACAACCGCTATCTCAGAGCAATGATTAAAAATGACATTCGACGAATGGAGCCTGTATATCGTAGTGCCGACTATCCTTGTAATCTCATCGAATAGCGCTACACAATCGCAAATAAAGAACTATATCAAATGACAGAAAGCCCATGATTTTCAACAAGAGCGAAAACTAAAAAGGATATCACGTGTAATTCGACATAAGCAAAATGTTGGTATTCCACACTACCTCAAACAAAAGAATAGAAAGGAAGCCTTCATTACTACTAGAAAAATCGACAACAGTGAACTTAAGGTTGTTTTTAGCGGCATTTAATGGGCCATTTAATGCCGAAATTTAATTCTCTTGGGAGAATTAGTAACTTCTTTTAAAAAATTATATTGCTGGCAATATTTTTACTTATTTATGTATTGCTGGCATTTTGTTTTTTACAAAAATATATTGCATGTAAACTTTTTTTATGAAAATGTATTGGAGGTATTTTTTTACTATAAAAGTATATTTTTATATTTTCATAGTGTTTTGACCCAAGTTGGGAGGTTAACTGTTTGCCCATAGCTGTGACCCTAATAGGTGCTAGAACCCAGGATCAAGGTGGATCTGTGAACAACAGCAATTAAGAGGTGTTTCCACGCTCCCGATGAGAGAACGTGCTACCTGATGTACTTTCTCATTAAACCCAGGACAAGTGAAATTAAGAAACTTATTTTCCTGAAAATTGTTTTGAGATAAAGATTTCATAAATTTCTAATGAAATTAGTCCTGGCTGAGCAGTCAATGGATGTCGAATGTTTTCTTCTAACAATTAATATTACCATTTCTATCGCTCTATGTAGCAAGATTACGTTGCTGTCGCTCTGAGGTAAACGTTGGTTTTCAACATGTATCCAATAAATCGATCAAAACATTCACTTTTATTTTATTTGAAAGGGTATTTTTTTAATACCTTTTCCTTTAGGACGTCGGCAATTATGGATCCCCACTGATTATTTTTCTTTATTAACTAATAATTACCATGAGTTATTGGGATTTGTTCCCGGCAGCCTTTTCAGCGATTTTGAATTCTGAGCTTTTCTTCTAAACTGGCTGTCAAGCAAAGCTAAAGAAACCCAGTCTACCCTGTTATTTAACCCATAGCTGGTCGAACAATAAATATATTCACACATCAGACGTGATGTGGTTTTCTTATATCTTTTCTACAAGTATTTTCATGGCAACTTCTCTGACGATCTACTTTCACTGGTTCCGAAACTGCATGAATTTAAGCGTGGTACCGGGTTGGCATCTCAGTCCCACCCTTTCACTGTCGAAACGGTCAAATATAGACGTCTCTTCTACTCTACAGCTTCCCATTTCGCAATTCCCGTCAGTGGAACTCTCTTCCACTTGCTTCCCTGATAGCTATAATCTTCAAATATTCAAATATAAAACACCGTCTTTATTCCTGCTCTCACT